TGGAACTGTAAGTGTTATGCTCTAAATTCAATCAACTTTAGATATAAACACTTTTAATATATATAAGTGATGCATAAATATAGCAAGATCTATTATTTAATTGAATTAATATTTTAATAATATAAATTATAGAATCCATAGATTCAAACCTTAGTAATTTGTTAATCACAAGTAGTCGTGATTGTAATATATAAATTACGTATGACTGAATGTTAAATCGTTTGTGGTCATATGTAATAACGAGATAAGGATATCGTTATTATGGATAGACCATCACATGTGACATTTCTTATTTGTGAGCAGATTTGACAAGATAAAGTGTCATTGCACTTAAATGAACACGTGAATATTTTGTTATGAAACAAAGCATTAGAACCTCGATGGGAAGATTTCACATGGATAACTATTTGAGTGTCAGTGGTTAAATCTCTAACGTTCGGTAGTGAAATTTGTCTTTTGACTTCAAGTCATCATAGTGTCTTATATGAAGAAAGCCATACTTTGGTGATGCTGAATGTTGCTCTGCCAAGGGTCGCTAATACGGCATCGTTCGGATATGTCAAGAATCATATGAAGGTTGTGAATGATCAATAAATGATTTGTCACTTTCAGATAGTAAGAGATTATGATATACATTTCATTCGGTTAAGTTAATAATGAAATCATCGGCCAATGTGTACTCATAAAACAAAAAGGAATTTTCGACTTACATTGACTTAATAGTGGGATGAAAGATATGATCAATTATTGAGATTGACACATATCCACATCTTGTAATTGATCGGATCATACTAACGAAAGGATTATAGTTTCACGGTAAAGGAACTAGTTTGGTTTTGTCATACCACATGACATTCTTAGTCACATGTATTGCCCTAACATATTGCTAGATGCCAAACTATGACGACGAATGTGAATTGGTGATAAATTAAAAGTGGTATTTTAATTTATTGATTTTGATTAGATCAAAATAATAATTCATATCGTTAAGTATCGTGATCGAAAACATGATGGGTCACACACAAGAGGAAAACCAGAAGAATGAAATTCACCAATTAATTAATTAACAAGTGTTGGACAATTAATTAATTGAGTTGTTTGTTAATATGCCCGAATTGATTAATTAGAATAATTAACTCATGGACTGAATTTAATTAATTTGATTAATTAAATATTTGATCCACTTAGATCTATATTAATAAGTCATTAGGATTTCAGAAAAACTGAACATAACATAATTCATATTCTTACTAGTATAAGAAAAGAGAAACTATAATTCTTTCATTGTTGTTCGTTGTGTGAATTTTCATTGGAGGTTGGGCAATTAGACAACTATGGATTGTAGATCGTGATTGTTTGTGTTACAAGATCAGTAAAAGAGTTTGCAGAATTTATCAAATATATTATTCTAAACACAATTTCTATCTAAATACAAAGAGATCCATGGTGGGAATTAAAAAATTAATTTATTTTTCGATGTACGTGTTAAGTAAATTCTCAACAGTGGTATGAGAGTCTGTTGTTGTTTTCTTGTTTCTAGCAATATAGAAAATTATTTTTATCTTCAAAAATCTATTTTTGAAAAGAAAATAAATGTTGGGTCAAAAAAAAGGGCATCAGCGAGCCATTGTCACAACCACCACGGTGGCGACGTGCGCGACTTCACACGAAGGCAACGCAACAGCGCGCTACCATGATCATGGCAATGCACTGCTGCATGATTCACAGCGACAGCAAGTGCTATTGCACTTTGCAACAGTGGGATGTCGTCGCTTGACAGCGGGATTCCCGCCGCAGAAGGTGTACACGGCGCCGACTTCCGGCGCTGCCCAAAAGAAAAAAAATTAGGGTTTTCAGGAAACAGGTGAAAGGTTGGACCTCGCCTGGGTTGCAATTTGAGAAATTGTAGGCCCTTGCCTGCAATTATGATCTAGGGGTCAATGTGCAATTATCATAATAAGGGCTTGTCATGCAATTTACATAATTAAAGGGCATGTTAATAATTTTATATCAGGGTCTTATTGCAAATTTCAAAATGATTTTGAATTTAAATTTAAAAGAGTTTTAAATTAGATTTAAAAAGGCTTGATCCTTAAATTTTATTTTTGACCCGTTTAAAATTTTATTTAAATTTAACGACTTCCAATATTTTCGTGAAAATT